AGCGGAACCGTACCTAGGGCGGCTTTTTATAACCACTTTAAAGGTATGATCGAAACTGTGCCTGGCTGGTATTATGTCCGATGGTTTGGTTGCAGATTCCATTTGTACTTCTTGTAGAATGACCATGTGACCAGTGACATCACCTGGTCTGGCCAATTCAGTAGAGTTCAGTCTGTATGCACTGAGAGCTGTAGTCCTCTTTATAAAAATATGCAAGGGTAGTAGGTCAAGCATAGCTTCCATTGCTGCAATAGGGCACGTACGCATAGCCCCTGTGATCCCAAGACACGCGAGTCTCTGGATTTTTTGCAGCTCAAGTTGTGCTGTTTTTTCCTTACTTTTGGTCCACCACACTAGAGAAGCGTATGGGTCTGAAATTGCCCTATTGACGATTTTGGTCAAGTGTTACTCTGTTACTCTGAAAATAACGTCAGCAAACATACTTTTTATGTTCTTGGCCTAGTGGACTAATTCTTATTACACCTGGCTTCGAACTACGACCCAAGAATTACATTTGTATATTGAATTGGATATCGCACTCAGGTGAGCAGTGCTTTACATAATGCTCTACATTTTATTCAATATGTATCACACTTCATGAATGATGGATTGAGGCTGCAGCCACTCGAAAGATTAGACAAAAAAAATGATAAAACGTGTAGAATACACAATCAAAAATATGCACGTTCGTGAGTAGGTATTTCATGCACAGGATTGATGACTCCAATGTCAATAAAACACTCAATATCATCAAATCTAAACAAAGCGATGCCATGTTTTGTTCTGTTTTATTAAATGGTTGGATGTTGTCCCCTCATCCCCCCTACTAACTACATTGTTCATTCGAGAATTCATTTAACGTGGAAATTTCTTCTTATTTTCCAACCATCTACGTATGTGAAGTTCAATGGTCTTCCATAGAATTACATGAAATTTTGAAATTTTCCTTCGTCGCTCACTTCTGGGTAAGATATAAACAAATATATCCCCCTAACAGCGCCACTGGTAGAAAAGAATGAACTTATCTCAGTTATTATTAACGAATAGATTCTTTTTCAAAACTTCATCGCCCTCTATCTCAAAAGATAAAACTTTCAGGACATACGTTCATGAGAAGTTTTTTTCTTGAAATCATTCCAAGAGTCACCCCCTCAAATATTAGCATATCTTATTCGTGGAACAACCTGTATAACTGGAATATTTCAGTAATTGGATTGGATTTTTTTTTATCGCTTGGAGCACACGAAAGGGAATCCCTATAATGTTCAAAGAACATCGTGCGTTCCTAGGGAGGATAGGGACAGGAGGTAGGTATTGGAATTTTTTTTGAACTTTTGGAGATTATATGTTGTTGGGAATACTTCCACAGGCAGTGAATTCCAAAGCCTAGCCGTTCTATGGATGAAGGAGTCTTGATAAAGTGCTGTTCGACATCTTTCGAGGTTGACAACGAAAGGATGTGCTGACTGGGCTTGTCTAGTTCGTCTGATTGGTATTGCTAGTGAAGGGATGATAGCAGAGATTTCCGAAGAACATTTCCCGTGGAAGTATCGATAGAAAAGTGAAAGGTCGCCGACCTTTCTACGGTATTCCAATGATGTCAAAGAGTGAGTGAGTGTGGCGTCACCCACCAGGCGAATGGCTCTTCTCTGGATGGAATCTAAGAGCATCAGCGTATTTTTTGGTGCTGAACCCCATATGTGGGAACAGTATTCTAGAACAGGCCGTATCTGCGCTTTGTAGATCATGAGAAGCTGTTGAGGTGTAAAGTAGCTTTTCGCACGGAACAAGAATCCCAGTTTTTGAGAAGCAGCTTTTGCGATTGATCTGACATGATTATCCCATGAAAGAGTGTTGCTGATGGAAATACCGAGCATAGATATGGTGGACTTGGTGGGGATGGTGGAGCCAGACATTACAATATCGGGCATACTGAGTTCCGCCTTTCTAGAGAGAATGCAGGCTTGAGTTTTGGTGGCGTTGAATTCAACTAGGTTGTTGGTTCCCCAGGCTGTGATTTCAGCAAGGTCTTCATTGACAGCATTGACCTGCCTGCGCCGTGTGTTCTTAGTTTCCTGGGAAGAAATAGGATTTCTGGAAGAGAACGCTGTATGGAGGGTACTATCATCTGCAAAGCTGTGGATGGGGCAAGTTGTTACTCCCAACAGATCATTGATATGAAGCAGGAATAATGTTGGTGCCAAAATTGATCCTTGTGGAACGCCGGAATTGATGCCAATGGTATCAGACGATACACCGTCCACCACCACGTGAAGCGATCTGCCTGAAAGAAAACTCGATAAGAGATGGCATAGCTGAGGTGGTAAGCCGTATGATGGTAGTTTGTGGAGGAGTCCTTCGTGCCAAACACGGTCGAATGCTTTCGATATGTCCAACGCGACAGCTAGAGATTCCCCGTGTTTTTCTATTGAAGATTGCCATAAATGGGTGACGTAGGCAAGTAGATCTCCAGTAGATCTTCGGTGGCGGAAGCCGTATTGTCTATCATTGATGATTCCTGAGCTCTCCAGATATTTGATAAGCTCAATATTGATGGCTTTCTCCATCCACTATGATGACGAGAAGTATTTCATTCCATCTCTGAACGAAGCAATTTGTTTGAAGACTTCCATTACTTTGTAGCAAACTGAAATTGCTTCATATCATGAAACGACATACTTACTTTCAAAAGCCCAGATAGTAGAATAATAATGTATATGCACGACTGGGAGTGAAGTAGCACGTCACCGCCCGGTTTTGCGGGCGTAAAGTGGCACTTTAGCGCCCGGCGTACAGATGAAGCATTCCTGTTTAGGTCATCCAGGACATCTATATGTTTTAGTATACAACGAAACTCATTTTGGTAAGAAAGCTACTATAAATAGATTTTTATAATTCATTAGAATATCGAATCAATCCTAAGCTGGTTAAAATGACATCGCCCAGAATATTTCACAGTTCATCGAAATCAAGGGCCTAACCGAAATAATAGTTTACAACCCTCTTGTAACGAGTAGGTATGAAGCACGGGTTTCTAATGGCCCTCAATTGACCATTTATAACCGCAAATGGATTTGAATAGATTTACTTTTGATATATTGCGACCAGAACACGGAGAAAAAAAATCACTAACCCTGAGTGAATATTCAATAGTGGCAAGTAAAAACTTGTATACTATATAGGACAAGGAAACGAGTTAATAACCACAAGAATATTCGTGTTCCTGAAAATGTACACCTACCACTATTGACCTGTTTCATTAAATTTCAGATTGATAACGGTTAGTGAACACATCACTTGTCATCAGTGACCTATCCAATTGTCATTAGTAACTCATTCACTTTTCATTAGTGACTTGTTCACTAGTCATTTGTGGCTTAATTACATGCCATTAGTGACTTATCTACTAGTCATCAGTGACTTATTTACTTGTCAATAGTGACTTATTGACTTGTCATTACCTAGTATGAAAAAATACCTCCATTGTTCTCTGAAAAGTGATAAAACCTTGGTAATAAGATAAAAACACATGCATTCAAAACATTTTATTATATGGGTATGATGAATCCAGAAAATACAAAAAAGGTAAGGCTGACGACTAATATTGAGATACTAGATACCGCGTATATCAGCATCATGCACCGAGAAATACGGTACTCTCACTCACTGCACTGCACTCTGGTTCACTATCTTTTTCCTTCCAGCATTGAAGATGATACAACTTTCATACTTTTCAAACGTCACTTCCTTCCACTTCGAGTATCATAGGAAGTGGAAATCCTGTATATATATGTAGAAACAATTATGTACTGTTCTAGAAGAGCTTTGGTCGTGGACACTGGACAGTGATCGCGTTGGGCGTGGGTACTCGAATAATATCGGAGATGTCCGAACGGAAAAGAGATTTATAACTACAGGTGCGCTGTCACCTGCAACAATCGACTTGATAGATTGTCTTTATTCATGAGTTCGCTCAGAGCAAGTTATCTTATGTCAGAAAAATAATTTAATAATAGTGAGTATTCGCACTAGTTTAGTGTTCACTTAGAATTAGCGAACTCTAAGTACATATCGACTTGGTTGATACCAACAAGTGTTCTGATCACTTACAGCAGAAACTTCGTTCCAAAATATAGTATTGCCTACTGCAAGTACCATATTTTCCTACCGTTGGTGAAAATGTTCTTGTCACAATCGACTTTTTTTCAAGAAAACAATTTACTTGGCCGAGTTTTCTCAGTGAATATTTATGTATAGATTCAAGTAACTATCGTCATATTAGTATAAGATGAATAAGGACATGGTATGGGAGAAAAATTGTTGTGTTTTTTTACTATGCCTTTTTCCAACAACCCGATATCATTTTTGGATTGTAAACCGGACAAGGCTAGCTCGGTCCATCTGAACGGGTTCTGCAAAGTTTCCTTTGTTCAAACACATACTGTAAAGAATATGGGCTGATTGCATTTTGCCCTTGTAAAGGCAGCCTTAATATACTACGTATATTTTCTTGGAAGAATAATAAATTGGCAAGTGAATCTTGTTGGGTTCGAAACATATGTTGAATAATCAATATTAGAGAGTTGAAGTAATCACTGTACGTAGACCTCCACGTCGACGTTAACGTACGAAAAATAACGTTTACGTATTGTCGTTGAATTGAATTGAGTTGAAGTCGCCACTTTGGTCGTCACTGTCATCATAACGTAATAATACATTTTGTTTTCGGTTTGTATTGGTCATTTTCGGTTGTGTGTTTAGATTCGAACATTTATTCCTGTCAAAATTAGAGGACTCCTTGATGCAGATGTGAATAAAATGCAGATAAAACACTTCAGTCTCCGAGACGCCCCTGCATATGTCAGGAATCTCAATATATCTTCAAAGTTGTACATATCTCGAGTGTGGCATCTTTAATATAAGTGTGAAATCTAATCGGTAATATGGCATTCAATGATAAAAATATTAAAAATAAATATACATCAATCATTCCCAACAATTCTTATATTGCTTCGTCAAATCATTATTATATACTAGGCTCTGGCTAGTGAAATGGCGTTAGCAGCAGCAAGTTTGCTGCCCATTTTGAGCACACTCACCAATTATGAATACTACACCTCAGCTGGCATAAATAGTGGTCTTACTGCAGACAAGCCAAATTTTTATCTGAATGACAAGGAAATCTTCATCTACAGTGGTGCAGTCCATTACTTCAGAGTGCCAAGGCAGTACTGGAGAGACAGATTGAGGAAATTGAGAGCTGCAGGATTGAATACTGTGGAAACGTATATTCCCTGGAATCTCCACGAACCGAAATCGGGTGAGAAATAATGTAGACGAAAAATTCCACGTAATTCATGGCATTGAAAATGCATGGGAAATCATAATTTTGTTAATAAATGAACCGACACTTTCCAGTTTGATATAATAATAATAATAATAATAATAATAATATTTTATTTTCTAATAAGACAATATTACAATATTACGAATTGTATAGGAAATTGTCAGAACATAGAACAGAAGAAAAAATACAGAAAATGTCTAATCTAAAAATTCTGTCAGCGAATAAAAACATTTTTGCATCAAAAAACTGTTTAGCGTCTTTCTGAAGAGAGCAAGATGCTCTGCCTTCCTTATGTGGTCAGGAAGTTTATTAAAAATTCTTCTTCCGATGTGCTCTGGTGATCTAGAGGTTTACTCTTAGTCTAGCAAATGGTACATGAAATTGATCTCTAATCCTGGTGTTATAGTGATGAATATTTTTATTTACTTCAAAAACTGACCTGTTTTTATATATATACAGACATATTTCTGACATATACAGGGTTTCCCAAAAGAACCGGAACGGTCGAATATTTTCGGCGCATTCGATTTGTCGTATTCGAATTACTATGACCCTATAATATCAGATTATAATTCCTCTAACTTTTGTTGATATGGGAATTCAACATTTCGTTAAAAAATATCACCAAATTTCAATATCTCGAGAAATCGTAGCATTTAAACTTCCTTTTTAAATTTTAGTTCATACCATAAAGTTAGGTACATTTTTTCCAACTGAATACTGGAACAAACCAAACCCTATTGATTATTTTTGAATCTTGAATCGAATTTTAGTTCTGAAAATTCGTACGTTATGTACTTTCTTAACCGATAATAACAGAACTTTTATAAATATTGTTTGAATCAAGATGTATGAAGTGGACTTTGGAAATAGCTTATCAACTTTTATTGTTGTCAACCATCTGTTTATTATCAAGATAAGTGAAAAAGTTCAAATAAATACTTAGGAAGATTTCGTGAAAATAACATGTAAATTTGACAACGTTGTGAATGATATTTTTAGATGAGACTTTCCAACAAATTTCTAATAAATTGATTTTCATTGTCATAACGCTACGATTTCTCGAGATATTGAAATTTGGTGATATTTTTTAACGAAATGTTGAATTGTCATATTAACAAAAATTAGGCGAATTAAAGTATGATATTATAGGGTCATAGTAATTAGGACATGAGAAATCGAATGCGCTGAAAATATACAGTGTGTCCACCTTAAGGACTTACCACCCCTGTAAAACTGTTATTATCTGACCGATTTCAAAAAACTTTTTTTCGTTGTAAGTATAGGTATTTGAAATGACCATCCAACAAGAGAGTGATTTTACTCATGAACCGTGATCGTGGCCAACTGCGACCAACTTTATTGACCTATATTTGAGAAAGTACTATTAGGGATTTTTTTTTCACGAAAAACAATGATGGATTCTGAATCACGATCACTTGAAAAACACCTTTACTGATTTTTATCATCATAAAACACAGGGTGTCCGAAAAAACGAATCATGTTTTTTTTCAATAGGTGATCAGAAAATGTAGTATTGTGGTATTTTTGAGAAGAATTGATGACACATTATTATTGAGGATCACTTTGAACATATCTGTATCGATTTTCATCATTCAAAAATACGATGTGTATGAGAAAACACTTAAAAAGAAAAAGTAGGCAATATTTTTTCATCAACTCAAAAAAAATAATAATTTGATTTTTCGAACACCCTGTGTTTAATGATGATGAAAATCGGTAAAGGTATGTTCCGAGAGATACTGATTCTTTTTTTATTTTGAGTGAATAATTATCAGGATGAAAAATATTGCTTATCTATCCTTTTTAGTTTTTTTCTCAGACACATTGTATATTCAAATGACGAAAATTGTTACAGGTATATTTGAAATAATCCTCAATGATAATTTGTGATTATTTATTTCTAGAAAAACCACAGAACTACATTTGCTGATCACCTATTTGAAGAAAATGCTGATTTTTCGGACACCCTGTGTTTTATTATGATAAAAATCGGTACAGGTATTTCGTGGAAAAAAATCCCTGATAGTACTTTCTGGAATATGGGTCATTGAAATTTGTCGCAGTTGGCCACGATAACAGTTCAAGAATTAGATCACTATCTCGCTGGATGGGCATTTCAAATACCTATCCAACAAAAAAAGGTTTTTTGAAATTGGTCGGATAATAACGATTTTACAAGGGTGGTAAGTCCTTAAGGTGGACACACTGTATGTAGCATTATATTTGAAAAAATAAAGTTGAGGAATCCATAGGAAAAACTGTGAATCTGGCAACGTTGTAAATATTATTTTCAGATCTGGCACTACTGATAACCCCCGTATACCAAATTTCATATTTTTATGTCAAGTCGTTGCTGAAATATTCGACTGTTCTGGTTCTTTTGGAAAACCCTGATAGATACTAACGTTGCCACATTGAAATCTTTAAAGAGTGGTTCACAAGATTCTGTGGGCGAGAACTTTGCAATACATCGCAATATGCGTTTTTCGACAATGAATACATCTTGCGCCATGCTTGAACTACCCCAAAAACAGACACCATACCTAACTGGACTCTGCCTGGGAGTAATAAATATGCAACAGCTGAGTTCTATTCAAAACCGAGCGCAAATTCATGAAAATAAACTTCAGGGAATTAAGTTCGGAAATTAGGTGATGACAGTGAACATTCTAGTTCAGAAACTTGTCTAGGAACATACCCAGAATCTTAACACTTCCGTTAGTCTCCAGATATGTTACATTGTCAACCATGAAACTAATCTTGCCGTTTTATTCTATTATGTATGCAAATAATCTCTGTTTTATCTGGATTGAAAAAAGAATCATGATTATTAAAAAAAATTGATATCTGACTAACTGCACTGATACATTTGATTTCCAAAATACTAGTATCTGAGGCAGAAATAATCAAAGATGAGTCATCAGCATAGGCCATATAATGACACCCAGCTATTACAGAATCGATATTATTGACATACAAAATAAACAGAATGGGCCCCAAAATGGATCCCTGAATTACACCCATCTCTATATTCGAAGGCTCTGAATCAATTCTTCGAATTTCATTATTTATGGTTGCCTGACACATACTTGCTCGGATTTTTGAGAAATGAAGATATCCAGCTGATGATGATGAAATGATGCTTACTATACCATAAATCATGCTATGGTCGACGGCAATTTGTACATATTCCGTTTATTATATATAGGGTGATTTTCGTTCAACTTTCTCATTATTGAATATAGTGGAACGAAATTTGAGGGTTGCAAATTATAGTTCAATTGAGATTCTTTGACATATCTACTTGCTCTGCCGTATTTCCAGTTTGACCGGAGATGACCCCAACTCTCGATTTTCAAATGGGAGACCATGCATTTTAATTCATAATCGCTTATGGATCATTACTTATAATCTCCCTAGCAGCAGAATTATCGGAAATTAATTCTGCCGCGTGGGAGATTCAGTAATCAAAATTTCATAAATTGTAGTTTATTTATTTATTTATTTATTCCACTACGTAACATTTGTATAAAATATATATGTGGCATGTCAGGTTTACAAGATATAAAAAGTTTATATACATGTAGAGGATGACACAAAAAAAACAGATAATAATAAAACATATTGAATACAGACATACCAAGGATGCAATGGACAACCTTATAATTCAGGTTTCATGAAAACATTGATATCTCGCTGAGGCCTCTTTCAGATTTCATTGTTACAGTTAACAAAATCTGCAACTGAGTAGTAGGCATGTTCAAATAGAAGTTTCTTAATATTTGCTTCAAAAGCGTTGTGATTTAACTTTTTCCAAGCTGGGCCAAGCTTATTGTAGAGACCAGTGTTTATGGAGTTTTTTTCAGAAATATTGAGCCTGAAACGGGCTTTTTTTATGTAATTACCTGACCTTGTGAGGTAATTGTGTAGTTTGGACTGGATCCCAAATTTAGTAGAATTATTGTAATTATGAAATTATGTGTTGAATATAAATATAGATGGTATCGTCATAATTCCAAACTTTGGTATAATGAGATGAACTCTACGACCCATTCTGCGTATATATAAAATAAAATTTCACACTCGGGTATAACTCGTTCTCATTACTGAAATGTGAAAAAATAGAATTACGAATTTGTTATCTGAAATTCAATGTCTTCATAGTTTCAAATTCAAATAAGACTTGATGAGTTTAGTTGAATATGACGCACTATATTTTCACAATAGAAGTTGATTTTACTTGTTAGTGTCTTAGCTTTAGTACTCAAATTTCCGGAACATTATCAATCAATCAATTAATCAATCAATTTTATTCAATTCAGATCAATCACAATGAATATGTATATAACATGAGTAATGCGGTTATCTAATGTAGGAGGGTGAGGTCTTCGAATGAAAATACGACACAAACACTGTAACACCCTTTATTTAACTGAACCCGACTACTAGCTTACAAGACAAGTTGTTACTCGAACGGTACAAACAGGAATAAATCTATAATTCATAGATGGTTATATCATCGACGATAGCTCATCTAGTCTGACTCACTACCTTGTCATGCCTATGACTCGGCATCATCCTGCACTAAGCTATGCTTGTATTGTAACCGCTATCCCGAAATAAGGTCTATCTCTATGTACAAAAATTAATAACACAATACGTTCGAATAATTATGATAGTTGGTAATAGCATTACATCTGAAAGAGCTAACAAGGTGAATGAGCAAACAATAGAAGGAGAAAATAACAAGAGTGAGAAGAGGAGAGAGATGAGACTTGGATAAAACATTAGACTGGAGAAAAGCATGCAGCTAATGAAATTGAATTGAATCAAAGCTTTGGTGCATCATCCTATTCAATTATCCATCACACTCTCCAGGAGCTGGTAGTTGCTTTCAATTATTCTTTCAATTTATTCTTATTCCTGATTAATTTCAAATGTACAGGTAACATATTGTAGAGTTTAGGTCCAAACCCAACGGTAAGTCCTGCCTGTCGTAGGAGGCGCCTAAAAGGACGCCAATAGATGGAAGATGGTTAACGCCATCGCCCGGTGCGATACCACCACATATCAACCATCATAGGCACTGTGAAATGGGTAAACTTACCCGTGTTTCAGTAGCTGGTTGATGTTCCGGCCAACCCAACCCTACCCAATTTTCTTTTCCTTCCACGCCAACCGCCCTTCTCTATACAGAATAAGCGATGATGAGTTCTCCTCAAGTACAATTATCCGGAAGTGAAATACCTATCCATTCGGATTTCCGGGCGGGAGGTGCTAGAGGGGGTTCACCATCGACTGAAACAGTCCTCAAGATAGACCTATGTAGCATCCGAGGTCTAAGTAAGAACATCAACGATTTCCATCGACACCTTCAAATCGAAAAGCCACACATATTGGCTCTTACTGAGACAATTCAATTCATTCACCAATACGACATATCTGCTCTGTCCTGGGTACGAACTCCACACACGTTTCAGATTCAAGGGAGGTCTCTGTCTCTACTCTGGAACGAATCTCTCATGTCAACGAGAAGAAACTTCGGAACCAAATAAGTTTGATGTCATGTGGTTCAAACTCGATAGCCAGAAACAGACCAAATACCTTTGTTGTCTCTACTTATCACCGAATGATCCATCCCATGAAGAGCTCTTCGAATTCTTGTCTCTGAAGCTTGACCAAATTCAACAGAACCATCCAGCAGCCGAAGTCATCATCATGGGCGATTTCAATGTACACAACACTGCTTGGCTCGTACACTCTTACAGAACGGATGAAGCTGGGCGACAAGCCGGAGCATTCACCATCACTCACGGCTTAGAGCAGCTTATCAAAGAACCCACACGAATTCCCGATGCCAATAACCATTCAGCTAACATACTTGACTTATTCCTCACTAATAATTCAGCACCCTACACCATAGATGTACGAGCTTCTGTTGGCAATTCTGACCACACACTCATCTCCACAACCTGCCCATTTTTCATTCCATCAACTGCTCCGGCACCCCCACGTCTCATATGGCTTTACAATTCAGAAGATTGGGACGGTCTCCGCATGTTTTTCTCCGAGTTTCCATGGCATAGAGTATGCTTTGACTCTGAGGACCCTTCACAGTGTGCTGCGAAAATATCCAAGATCATCATGCTCGAAATGGACCCATACATACCTCATTCTTCGAAAAGATCAGCACCATCGAAACCCTGGTTCAACAAAAACTGTTCTAGAACTGTTGCCTTGAAACAAACAGCCTACCACCGCTGGCGCAAAAACCCCTTACCTCGCGACTAGAGCAGAATACGTTGATGCCAGGAATAACTGCAGCCAAACAATAAATGCTTCGAAAGAAACATACAATGCCAAGATAAGATCGAAACTCATAGATTGTCCCAATGGCTCCCGTTCGTTTTGGTCCCTTGCTAAAGCGGTCGGGAGAAACACTAATAGTTCATTTCCACCACTGTCCAAATCCGACGGCACATTATCAACAACATCGCAGGAGAAAGCAAATATTTTTGCAGAGATGTTTGCAGCAAACTCTACTTCAGATTCTCAAGGAAAAGTGCCGCCAGGCATTCCACCCGTTGAGAGTCGAGTGCCCGAAATCGTCTTGCGTCAACGCACTATCAGACGAATTTTGCTTGGTCTCAAAACTGATAAGGCTAACGGTCCTGATGGAATTCTACCCATTATCCTCAAAAAATGTGCACCAGAATTAACATCGATTCTCTGCAAGTTGTTTACCGTCTCGTACAGGTCGGGTATTTTTCCATCATGCTGGACGACAGCTAGAGTCCAACCAATACCCAAAAAAAGGACAAGAACCTGCCCAACAACTACAGGCCCATTGTCCTGATATCAGTAATCTCCAAAGTGATGAGATAAATTTTTGATTGTGGGTTAGTCTACAACGTGGGACATTGATACTCTGATAAGCGTAGGAGCGTGTACTGAATACATGTGTACGAATATAACAGGTGCAGTGGCTGCTCAGACAAAACAGTGGAATATTTGCAGATTTCTTATGCTGAACAGTCCACTTTCATCAAAAATAGCTCGAGTGCTGAAAAATCTCGATTTCCTATACATCATCTTTATCAAAGAACTCTGGATTATTTCTAGGTTACATAATGGATATTTGAAAATCCCACCCCATACTACTAAAGAGTTACGTATTATAGACTCAGCCAAGGCATTATAAACAGTTAAAATCATCGTTTCGTTGAGTATATTTCTTGTCTGGTAAAATTTGTATGTAACTGTATCTATATTCAACTGAAAAATTATGATAAATAAAAGAAACAAGCTTCACATGATCATAATTTCACTGTTTGATTAGAATTACATCGAAAGACAATGTATCGAGCATGCTGATGAAATTATATGAAAATATAAACGTAGTATGTTTTCACTCGTATATTCATTCATCTGGTAGGAAAATAACCGTGAATAACATGGAATACAAACAACTATTCTAAATCACGCATTTCATTATATCCATAATTATGTATATAATGAATATTTGTTGAATAATGAATAACTCCGATTCATTAACTTCGATCTAAAGCATTTATTCATCAGAAATATTATTTAACTGTTAGAAAATCAATGCTAATGATGAAGACGCAAAATTACCATGATATAATAATCAACAAATTATTTGAATATCAAACGGGATTATTGATAACAAAGAAATGACTTGGTAACAAATCGTTTGTTTATTGTTGAGGACTATTTTGGAAAGGCTTGGGTGATATCTAATAATATTTCATAACATTAAATGAATATTGTTGATATCAAACTAACAAGGTCTGAATAAGTCGATATGTTAACAACAAAGAATGTTTTCTCTCAGTGAAATTACCAATGTACATTGAACAATCTGCTCACTGCTTTCACCCTGTATACAATATTTTCCAAATACAAAAGAACTATCAGGAACTTTGAAAAATTTACGAAGAAAAACCTGTGATATTTTTGTTTTGCCCAGGAAATATAGTAGGGGTTATGAAAAAAGTTACCTTGCTCCGGCTGAGAAATTATCATGGAATAACTTTTGAAATACTATCAAGGTTTCACGTTGTGCACCAATTTTATGTGACGTAATTTAAACACGAATGAAAATGCCTTCATCGCTGCTGTTCCAAAAATACCCTGTCACATTGAGAAAATATGTATATTCGTGAATAATTAATTCATATCAATTTGATTTTGATTGTATTCCAGGTGTATATGACTTTGGCGACGGGGGAAATGACATGTCAGACTTCTTGCACCTCGAAGAATTCCTTCAGATTGCCAAAGAAGAGGACTTGTTCGCCATTATTCGTTCTGGACCATTCATCTGTGCCGAATTCGAATTCGGAGGGTTTCCCAGTTGGTTATTGAGAAAAGAGAACATAGAGTTCAGAACCAGCAATTCGACATACATGAACTACGTAACTGGATGGTTTCGTGTTCTTATGCCAATTCTTGCCAGATTTCAATTCACGAATGGAGGTCCAGTGATTATGTTCCAAGTTGAGAATGAGTACGCTGTGTCAGGAAAACATGATTTGTCTTACATGAAAATGTTAAGGGACATAATGATCGATAATGGTAAGGAATTGAAATGGAATAAATTCGATAATGAATGAACGGAGCGTGTTCAAAAAATCTCTTGGACACGTCGATTGAAATTATTAAATGCACATTACTTCTAACAGAAACTTTCTATACAGGGTGTGTCATGTAACAGCGACCAATACCAACTTTGTCATTTCAAATGCATCACCTTGTATTTTATTTAATTCTTCATGACATTTTTGTCATATTCCCGGCGCTAATGAAGATGAAGAAGATCCTTGGGATGACAAAAGAATATATTTTCCCTGTTTTTTGATAACCTTTCCAAAGCGTCTTGTACACAAGCAATCGCTGCAAATAAAGAACTCCTGGTGGATATACAGGGTATTTCTTAAGTACGTGTAGAAAATTCTGCAGCATTCGCTGACGTCGAAATAAGAAGAAAAGTTCGTATAAATATATGTCCGAAAGTTATCCGTTTCTGAGATACAGAGTGTGAAAGTTGAATTTTTATTTTTGTTTTTTGTTAATAAATTTCCTGAATTTTCTACACGTACTCCCCTGTAACTTCTTTATTCTACATATTACATACATAAGTTTCATTCGATCTCTTTCTGGTTTCGATCTCTTTAATATGGTTTAAGTTTCATTCATACAGAGTGTCTCTAAAAAGCACGGTGACTTAGAAGTTAATTTTTTTAAATGGGACACCCTGTATTTCATTGCATTAATACATTCTACGTTGAATTCTGAACAAGTTTGATAAATAGTTTTCTATCAAAAAAGTTAATAGTTTTGGACTTATGAACACTTGTAAATAATTATTTCGACTTCTTTTGCGCCAGTTCAATGAAAAAATCGTAACAAATGGATCACAAAAGTAGTGGGGTACAGGGTGTCCCATTTAAAAAAAATTAACTTCAAAATTAACACTCTGTATGAATGAAACTCAAACCATTAAAGAGATCGAATGAAACCCTACAACTTACGTATTCAAAATTGTTTTGTAATATGTAGAATAAAGAAGTTACAGGGGGGGGCGACGGACTTTTGGTCCTCACTGTATATGGTTTATCAATCTTCCATAGTAGACCTCGTGACCTCTCTGGATCGAGTTCACAACCTAGAGTTAGTTTCCGAAAACATTTAATGCCAGCAACTTCATTTTTTCAGATGTAAATTATCACATATTCTAGTTCAACAGGTCAAAACAAGTGCAATCTTTATGTCAAATGTAATTTTTTTCATTTAACTTCCTTCGCTTTTTTTTTAATTTCACATTTCATGAGATGTGGTCAAGGCTATTCACAATAATAAGTCCAGTTCCCAAAGTATTTCATCTTACAAAAGGTGGGGTAGAAGATTATATCTTTCATTCCGTTATAATGAGTATGAAGAGTAAAATATAAAAAATGTGTCTGAATCTGGGCTCGGTACAACTTTTGGTGCCGAAAAACCTCGAAGTTTTCAGACATTTTTCGATTTTTTTTGCAATATGACGAAAATGAGTGGTTCTATAGGAAGTGAGCTACAGCATCTCAAAGATGGAACATTCTTCTCAAAATGGTAAAAAAGCCAAGTAACGCCTTCTTTTGTGTTAGTTATTGCGGCCCATGCATTCTTTTGTTGTATTTTCGAATTAGATTATATTGTGGTTCGATAACGTTCTCCAGACAGTTTGTAGGGCGATGCTCATTTCTGACGAGGCATTACGGATCGATCCGAGGTAGCAGTTATTTTTTATGTGTACCCCTCAGAGTCTGTCACAGAGAGCGCTGAAAGATTACGCCGGACGTGGCCGGACACAGATCCACACTTCTCCTGATGTGAGTTTTAACAAAACCACAATCAACCCAGTTGCTCAAAACAAGTTTCTGTCGAACGCCAATAACAAGATCAGGTTAATTGAGCTACTCAAAACAGAGTTCGAGAATTGTGGAATTCAAGTCAGTCAGGCACATGAGGATGCTGACAGACTCATAGTGGAAACCGCCATAGCCAAGGCACAGAAATGTGATGCTGTGGTGCTGGTTGGGGGGGATGTGGATCTCCTTGTGCTCATGACAGGGCTCGGGCAGCAGTACAAGAATTTATTCTTCCTGAAGCCTGGTAGAGGTGGTGCAAATGATGTATGCTACTGAACAGTCTCATACAAATTCAGTCCACAATACATCCTCATCAGCCATGCTTTTAGCGGGTGTGACGCTACATCTGCCATATTTGGCCATGGAAAAGTGAAGCTGTGCAGTGTTCTGGAAAAATCTTCCGGAGAAATGAAGCATGCGTTGGATGAGTTCTTAGATGAGCAGAGCACAAATGGAGCGATCATTGAAGCTGGAGAACTTGGGTTCAAAGCATTGTACCAACAGGAGACATTCTGTGGACTTGTAACCTTGGACGACATGCAATACAATTTTTTCAAAACGTCCGTGTCTGCAGGTGAAGTTAATCTTGCTCGGTTGCCACCCATTTCTGATGCTGCTGCTCTACACTCACTAAGATCGTTTTACCAAATTCAAGTTTGGCTGGGTGCCACACACTTGAACCCCAAACAGTATGGGTGGACCAGCCATCTACAGGGCCTGATTCCACAGCATGCAACGAAGGACCCAGCACCCAGAAGCCTACTTGAAACTGTCTCGTGCACTTGCAGATCTGGATGTCAGCGAGCCTGCTCGTGCGTAAAAGCCGGGTTGAAATGCTCCAGCATCTGCAAGAAATGCGACAATGACCCACTGTACTCTATTTGTATTCTATTCCCTGCATAGATACCTACGTTGACTGATCGTGAATAAATGCTCACTGTCATTTAAATCAAGCACGAGCCGCAGGCGTGACAGTGTGTTACGTAGCTCCCCATTCTGAATGCTCACTTGAGATTTTTTTATGATGAGAGAATTGCTTCTCACAGAACTCGTGTAGTAAGTGACGTCATGTACGTGCGAGCATGAATATTCCGCGGGTCCATCAACGTATCTATAGACCGTTCGTATATACAGGGTGTTTCATAATACATGAGCGCAAGACTTCAGGATGTGATAGCTCGTCCAAAAATATTAGGCAATCCAAACCACGTGACATTTTAGCTGACAAGATGGCGTCTGGTTGGCAAACAAAGATTATGCATCACTTGTAATTAAATTGTATTTTGCCCGAATTACCCTATTATTCTGGTAATTTTATGGGTCAGGTGTTTGAGGGAGTCTCGGAGCTGAATTGAACAGTGCTTCAATATGCTGAGCTCATATTTCCAGATGTTATTGCAGGAAAACCCAGAGGTTGGTCAGAGGTAAACATGAATATTTATCGTTTTTTCGGCTATTTTTCTCAACTAACCAGTAAATTTTCATTCCTGAAACTATCATACAACCATAATTTGTTTGTAGATATCTATATTTCCTATACCTCATATTCATGTAAAACTTATGCAATTTTTTTATAGGTGAAATATTCACAATCAGATTTTGTGCTAATGAGTAACTTGAGGCTTGGGCAAGTAAATAAGGAACAGTTTCATGTACTGATGTAAGTGCTTTGTTATTGCCCATGCCACCACTCTCCATGATTATGCCCATCATACCAATAGCAGAAATGGACATATTTAGGTACAGTTGCTCTGGCTGGTTCAATACAAAATCCCTACTATATCTTCAATGTCCAAGGAAAAAGTGTTTTTTGGGAACAACATTCCCAAATTGCTTTGAAGTTTCATGCTGAAGTTATAATGCCTGGACTTTTGGGTGGATATTAATTTCACCAGAAGTGAACTATTGGTGTAAGTATTCAAAAGCGGATCATGGAACCCCTATGACTAGTTGTGACAGTGATAAAGGGAAATTGTATGGTTGTATTTTAAATGTGTAGATATTTTAGGTACACCAGAATCAGCATGGTTTTGTGAATTTCGATTCAACAAGTTCTATAAAAAATATGTACCTATTCATAATAAATATATCATTCAATCATTGTTTATTATTGTTTCCATCAGATCACTGAATAACTCTAATGTTCTATGAAGATTTTTTCATGACTCATGTAGATCTTTTGTAATATAGTGGAATAATACAATGTATTTTTCATTTAATGAATATTACAATTATTTTGATATACTTACTTCATTTGTCTTACATTAATAATTGATAAAAATAAATCACAACAAACTGTAATTTGTAAAAGTTTTTATAATCTTGTAGATTTTCACCTTGTTTTCACCAATTTTCTCTTCTATTTCTTTATCTCCCAGGACACTTTCTTCATTACACTGAAATAAATGAAAAATGTAGTAGTAGTATTAGGTAATTAGGTGTTTCCTTGAGAACATACCAAGTCTCTTGGTTCTGATGCTTGATTCATGATTTGAACCTTTTTTCTGCTCTCAGTTTTTGATCCACATCAGTCTTGCATTTCGAATGGACAAGAGATTGATGACCCATATTATATTGCAATGGGACCCAAGCTGGATATTCTCATCTTTCAGGCACTATGTTCTCCTGCAAGGTAGATGATTTATTTATGTATTAGAAACATGATGTTTCCAAACTGTGTAGGACCATCAAAAGTATTGGTTTATTTTATCAAAATGAAAAAAAGATAAGTTTTCCATAGGATGAAACACTAAACTCATCAGTTCTAGAGTAGGTAGGTACATATAAATAATATCTTACGTACCTGTATGAAAATAGTGTCTGCCACATATCCTCGATCTGGTTTATTATGATCGATTCTGTTGCTGATTCTTTCTCTTCATGGCTGCTATCCACATTTCCCTTATTTTTCTTGATGGATCCTTCATCTGTGGGTAATGCTCAGAGTTTTCACAGTATTACAGTAGGAATGTGAAAAAACAGCAAATGGTCCCGATCTGCACTGCTTCCACAATCCACCACAATTCACGTTACTGGCAATTTTTTCTTTGAAATCATACTGAGTTTTCATTATTCACAATAAATCTAGCCGAAACTCGATAAAATAATACTGTAAGAAGCTTCCAAAACCCACAAAGTTCTCAAGTAAACAAACTTGTCTTTGGTTTG